ACGGTGCGATATTACGCAGAGTTAAAAATTACTATCTCTCTCTCTCTCTCTCTCTTTCTCTCGCGTGCCGTCGCGATCCTCGTTTCCGCGTCCGCTGATCTTAACGAGAAAATTCGACGATGAATTTTGTTATTTAATTTCCTCTCGGTCGGACATGGACATACGATCCTCGCGCAAAATCGGCCTGAGGACGCGCGTTCACGTAGAAAACCGGCGAGATTATCGCGGGGATCAAGGTTGAAAAAAATCCCAACTCCGGTAGCACAGAATCCAAACTCCGGCAAACTTTCAGACGGAGTTCGGCTCGCCGAAGTTCGTGAAAATCGCCGATTTAAATTCGGCAACGCGTGTGTCACAGGTCGGACCAAACAAAGTTAAGATTGATGCGCGCAGTAAAGAAAGGCGTTTTTCCGAAATACCATCTTGCAAAAAAAATCGTATACGTGCACATACGCAATGCGAAAATCCAAACGACGTCTGGGAGGAATTAAAAATTAGGATGGCCTTTGCCCGAATGAAATTTACTTGATCCAAATAAAAATTTGTCGACGAGTATTGGAGTAATTGTTTACTTGAATCTAGCACTTTTTTTCTGTTTCTACGCTGAGAGAAAATTATGGCTATTTTCGGCGCTGAACTTATTTTATAGTAGTAGTAAATATTATATTTTATGTAGAATGTTTTTCTTGCTTTTGCTAGAGGTCTGCATTTATTTCAAAACTTGTCCGTGCTTAGCCACTCGTTAAAATACATTCCTCAATTAGCAAACGTCGGCCAAAGTTGATTTGGCTAACGTGTAAATCAGGTTAGAAGGAAGAGAAAGAGAGAGGGAGGGAGGCAGATCGTTAGACTTAATTTCATCGGGCCCATTGGGGACAATAATTCGATAATATTTTCGCGGCGCAGGAAGCTCAGCTGGAGATTAGCGCTAATCCGACAAATTAATAGCCAGAGGACGGATGAGAGAGGAAAAGAGAAAACAAAGATGAGATCGAATACATCCTGATTCGATCGATCTGGCGCAACGGACTAAGTGTGTTGCGTTGATATGGCGAAACACGCCCTGATGAACTGACGGCCAATCAAGATAATTGCGAAAGTGAGACAAATGCCACACGTCTGCCAATTGAACGAAACAGCGCTCATAAAACTGCTTATTTATGAACAACCATCTATTTGTTTATATTATATTTATTAGCACGTCGCGGCGAAATCATTGAAAAGTAATATCCATTAGCGTGTCACTGAGTTTCATGGAGGAACATTTACATTACGTTATGTTTATTAGGTCGTCGCACGGCTGCATTTCGATCGAATAAGCGTGGAAGTCGATAGGAGCGTAAACAACGAGCACAACTGAGTTTCAAACGACGCAAATAATTTTTCAGTCTTCGTTCTCGGCAACAGGTTCCCCGTTACACAGCGAATGTTTTTACTTGTTGCACCGTGCACTTTTTATCGCAATCGCGGTCATAATCGGTTATCTTCTCCTCGATGTTTGCATAGATACGATAAACTCGAGTGATAAATCAATCAAATCCCTATGCTACCGCAATTGACATTTGCCATATCTCTTTCTTTTTTTTTTACGTTTGAGACAGTGGATAATTACGATTTACCAATTGTCTCTCGAGTCTTTCGAAAAACACTACACACAGGCTAAGGTAAGAATAGCCCAAGATTGCGTGATAAAACAATGCGTCACCGATTTATCTGGGAAAATCGGGCGCCAAGGAGCCACATTATACAATTTTACGATATGACAATCCACTCTGAAGTCGAGCAAACGAACGAGGGGGATTTCCTCCTCGAGATGTTCAATATTCCGATTTCAGCGGATATCAACGAGGAATGTACGTATCGAGGAACGCATTAGCGCGAACGACTCGCAGCGGATTGAATGAATGCGGATCGTTAGGAGAGCGCTGGACTAACGGATCTTTCGGCGCGAGGGAAATCGCATAATCATCCGCCGTATTCTTCCAAAACGTTTGAGCGTCAGCCTACGGAAACTGCGCGGAACGGAATGAATAAAAGATGAAGGATGTCGGAAAGCTGGATGGAATTTCGAGAAATTGCGCGGAGGGTCTTCGGGGTCACCTGAAAACATTAAAACTGCCTGTAAGCCGTAATCTTCTATGACGATCGAGCTGGATAAAGTTCAGGGATGCGGGCGGAGAGATCTGAGAAAAATGATGGAACGCGCAAACAGATAAGAGGGATAACTTCTGTGCAAGGAAGAAAACGGAACTAGTTTCGGAACTCTCCTCCGAGGTTATGCTAATGCCCACGGAGGTTTCCGAGCGGATTACGAGTAAGGCTCGGATTATCCGGATAAATAATTATTCGAATATTTGAACAGTGACGTCATTGTCTATTCGTATTCCAGATACTTCCGAAGTTTCCGGATACTCCGGAGTATCCGAATAGCTTAGAAACCGTACTATTCGTACTATTCGTGGCACGAAATATCCGAATATCCGGATAATATGTGGGACGTGGGACGGATTTTATTCGTAGTTGAATATTGTATCCGAATATCCGGATATTCGAATAACGATATGATTCGAATTTAAGTCGCAGCCCCGATTACGAGGGACAGCCTTGCTTTAACAGCCTTGCTTTAAAACGCGCACAGAGAAAAACGCTAGATTCAAATAAATAATTACTCCAATACTCCTTAGAATACAATTACTTCTTAGAAAAGTTTTGCTTGGATCAAGTAAATATTAATAAAGTAAATATTACTTGGTAAATAAAATATTTTTTCCAAGTAAATTATGCAAGTAAAAAAAAAATATATATATATATATATTTATTTATTTATTTAATTAGTTCAAGTAAAATTTACTCAATCCAAGTAAAAATTTATCAAGGTATATTGGAATAATTATTTAATTTTTTCTGTGTAGATAATAAGCAAATTGACCAACCACGACCGATTATTCTTCTAAACAACTACGATTGGTCAATTTACCTATTATTTATGTCTTAAAGCAAGGTTGTGGACTTTAATGAGATACAATGGTATCATATACTGAGCGAAAACTACTTAAAAATGTATTTGTAGAATATTAAGTTTATTTCACAGAATCAAAATTAATTTCTGTGAAATAAATCTTATAACCCACAAATAAATGTTTAAGTATTTTTTCTCTGCATACTGTCGATTAACTATCACTGCACTCAATGTGTTACCGTGAAGACGGTTGCACATTGGGTTTTTCGTGTCGTAAAAGATTGGATTCGCATCCATCCTCGACTCACGTGTGTGTGTGTATATGTGTGTGTGTGTGTGTGTGTGTGAACATTTTTCTTCTTTTCTTTTCTCAGGCGGACTCGAATTCAGCGGTACAAGTTACCGAAAAAAAAAACACGTTTCGCAATAATGAAGCGATCTTTATTCCGAGTACACAGTGAATTTTCACGGGTTCACGATCGTATAAATATGAGATTCCGTGGAAAAGGGGCGGCCAGTAGCGCGGCACCGGCGTATTTACATGCTTACAGCGACCTTAAAAATCGATACCTCTCATTCGGAGATGTCGACGGACTTAACGGACGTGCCGAGTCGATAAGTCTGGAAACATTAATTCGATAAACCCACCGGACCCGGTTCTAGCCTCGCGTCGAAATATCGCCTTTCGATATCGACTTACGGGCCGGTCGTTGCATAGTTACATAGTTAAACGTCGCCCACACGCTTGATATAATATTTGTTGCGACATCAAAGCGTCACGCGTCAGCAAACAACGCTTACCTCCGATGGCGAGCGGCTCATGCGAGGTCTTACGCATTAATATCGTGTCACTCGCCGAGCTCGGTAGCTCATACGGAGTGTTTACTCGCACTTCAACCCTACGCCTGGATAATATTCTTTGCATGGCTTGCGCATATCGCGGGAAGGAAAAGCGAGCGAGCGTGACGTGTCCGTACACAAAAATGTAACATCGCAACGATAACCTCGTCTAATCGCACGAAAAAGAATGTTCTTCTAGAAAACATGTTAATATTTGCGTATTACACAATTATTTATCGTTCGCGAAAGGTCAAGTCTTATTCGGCGCGTCCAAACGTATTATTTGCCGCAAATGCATCGCGCGATATTCGCTTACGTGACGTTGTCACTTGCGCGATGTTGTTCGCACGTATTTTTTACGCGGTACAGCGTTATCGTCAACGTTCCGCTCATCGTAAATGATCACAAACGACGTCTCTGAGACGTCCTGATCTCTCTCAGACATCCATTAGATACCCCGTCTTCTGGAGCATCTCATTATCTGAAATTACCCCTTGCCAAGCTTGACCTGAGTTCTCTCCCTCCCTCGCCCTCCCTCCCTCCCTCTCTCTCCCTCACTCTCTCTCTCTCTCTCTCTCGTTTGTTTCTTCCGATATTGTGTTGCACGTTAACAGCTACGTAATTGCACCGAGAGTGTTGGATACTGGATATTAATAACATTTGAGATTCTTGGTCGTTAATCTGAGAGAACAAGAGAGAGAGAGAGAGAGAGAGAGAGAAAGAGAAAAGGAGGAGTAAGGAGAGAAAATCTCTTATCTGAGGCCGCTGTAAGAAAACGGGACTCGTGTTTTCGATCTCACGGTTCAAGGGAAAGTGCGCGAACAAATGTTTCCCATTGTCAGAAAAAAACAAGCGGGGAGCGAAAGCCAGGGTTGCAGAGGCCGACCTCGCGATTTTTCCCGCAGTCGCGGGACACACGCGGGTCATTAATATTGCAATTATCAGCGTGGGTGTGTATCGAAGAACAGTGCGCGAAAGGTCACGCCGAAAGTTGCCGCAAAGCCGGGACGCCGCGGACGCACAGCGCGTCGGGCGAGTAAAACCGTCCTCCGCGCCACCCTCTCTCGTGTCGCGGGAACCTTCCGTCCGCGGTATTCGCGCGCGGGTCAGAGGTGAGAGCGTCGAGTCGAATGCGCCGAGCGAAGTTACGCGGAGCGTGCGGGGCGAGAAGGAAGAAGAGAGAGAGAGAGAGAGAACTTACCTTCCGCGGTCGTCAGCTCCGGCGGATCCGGCAGACCGAGGGCTGGCCGATCGAGGATAATCCAGGAGGCGAAGACGACGCAGAGCAGCCGCAGGGCGATCGGTCTGCACCGACGGAGGGTCCCCGACGGCGGCGACGACGGACACGTCGTTGACGGGCACGTCGGGCAGGCCGTCGCTGCGACGCGCATCTCTACGACTGCTGGGGCTCCTGGCACGCGGCACACCTGCGCGGCCTACGCGCGCCGTACTCGCACGCACGCACCCGCGGCCGTACGTACCTGCACGCCCGCCCACGCAGGTCAACCCTGCCTGGCCTACTTCCGGTATCACATCTCCGGCCGATCGCGGAGGCGCGCGCGATCGATCACGCGCATAGTCGCCGCGGGACCCGACGCCGTAGCTCTCACCCCCGCCGGCCCTCCTCGTGGATCCCCCGCGCGCGATCTAACGGTCGTCACGTCGGACACGCCGCTCGGCGCGTCTCTCTCTCTCTCTCTCTCGCGGAGAGGAAGGTGCGCGAGAATACGGTAGGACGCGACGCAACGACCGCGGTTCCGGCGGAATGCGGAGAAGGCGCGCACGCTGCAGAAGACGGACGCACCGGGGGTGGCGCACCGACGATCTGATCTTACTCGCTCGCTCGCACACGCTCGCTCCCACGCGAACCGTCCTACGTGCACCGTGCGATTGTGCCGCGTAGCGCAGCGGAAAGGCGCGGGCACCAAGCAACGACCGACCGGCCTGCCTGACTCGCCCCGCGCGGCTCGCGACGCCAGGGCGCCGACGTCCTGCGCAATACAGCCGAGCCACGTTTCCTCCACCCCCTTGGCCGCCGCCGGCGGCGGTGTCGCACCCCCGCGCGGCGAACGCTACCTCTGAGTCATTCCTCGGACGAGAGCCGTCGATGCACCGTTGCCACCACCGTCGCGTAAATATGCACGAACGTCGCACACCGTCGATGCGCCGCGTCGCCGTGTGGTGGTAATGACGCAGCGCGCGCGATCCACCCCCTCGGAGGGATGGACGAGCGAGCCGGCATCGCGACGCGACACCCGGCGCCGCGCGAGGCCGCGCGTGTGTTTCACCACTCCGCGTGGGTATTAATGTTGAATGATGCGTAGGGTTACCCCTCCACCCCGCTGTCGCAGGGAGAACGTTCTTTCTGACGGCTTCTTCGAGCAATTTGAAATCGATCTTTCGCCGAGCGCCGGCAAGCCGCTTTCGAGCTACGACCGCGCGTCGTTGAGTCAACTCCGAATTCGGCTCGGCTTTGTTCCTCAGAGGGTCGGAACTTGCCAGTCCGGATGAACGTACGACGTTAAGTTGCGACACCCTCGCAGGTCGAATCGTCACCTTCCGTGCGGGCAGCACCGAAAATCGATTCTGGCAAGAATTTGGCAGTGTTTATCAAACATTTAGCGGAGCAACTTCAGCTTTGAATGTTACATGATTTGGTTAGTGTAACGTATGCTGTGCAACTGAGTGACTTGTTTGCCGTAATCAAATCATTCAGTTGGAAGTGTTTCACTTAAATGGTTTGGTAATTGTCGGCAAACTCTTTTCTCAATGCACAATAGTTTTCGAGACGCGAGTATAATCGCACGTTGAATCGCCTTCGAATTCGGGTGGATTTATATTTTACAAGGGTTCTAAGGGTTGCAGGTCGAAAGTTGGCAATTTGGATGAACATTTAACGTTAAGTTCGAAGATTGGCACAGGTGAGATCATCACTTTTGATATGAACTATGGTAGTTTCCGAGTCGCAAGTGCGATCGCACATTGAGTCGCGTAAATTCGAGTTTCACTCCCCGGGGATTGCAACTTGATCGGCACTTGATAATTTAAATAAACGTATAAAGTTAAGTTAGAAAATTGCCACAGGTAGAACCGTCATCTTTAATGTAGGTCACGGGGATTTTCGAGACGCGGGAGTGCGATCGTTCTTTAAATCGCGCACAAATTCGAATGAATTTTACTCTCCGGGGATTGCATGTCGGGATTTGACGATTCGGATGAACGTTACAACGTTAAATTAGAAAATTGCCACAAATACTCGGAGGAAATATTGTAGTAAAAATTGCCAAAAACTTTGGTAATGTTGGACCGGGATTATGACTGAAATTGTGACGTGTGTTGTCATCTTTAGTGATAAATATCATGTGTACACTTTATTAAAGATTATCACACACGTAATAATTTCGACGATAAATAATTCCGACATAATCCAGCATTAAAGACCACTGGAGTAATTTTTGCCAAAATATTTTCTCCGCGTAAAATTGTCATCTTTAATGTTGACTTCACGCTGGTTTTCGAGGCGAGATCGTACGTTGAATCGTACTCAAATTCGGATGGATTTGACTCCTCGTGATTTGCAAGTCGAGATTTGCTAATTTGGACAAATGTTGGGTAAAATTAGAAAATTACTATTAGTACTATCGTCATTTTTTATGCGTTCCGCGTTTTTCGAGTCCCAAGTGCAATCGCCCTTCGCACGCAAATTCGCGTGGATTTACTCTCTCGGTTCTACAAGTCAGGATTTACTCTCTCGGACTACAAGTCAGGTCTTGGCAATTTGGATGAACGTAATAATGTTAAATTTGAAAATCGCCACAGGTAGAATCGTCAGCTTCGAAGTTGAATTTACTTTTATTACGCGCGTCAATATTGGCCGATTTTCGGGTAATTTAATCATACGTCATTTTGGCAAATTTGATCAAAGGAAAATTGCAAATATTCCCAGTTATAATATGTCGGTAAGCACTGTTCAAACAGTGCAGCGATTGCTTAACATGCGGCGTCGCAGTATCGACAATTTCTTTCGCAAATTATTCACTTGAATTACAGCTTTTCCAAGATAATCCGCTCGTTCCCTGTAGAAACTTACCGTGGCTTAGGTGTACGTATTCCGTTCGAAGTAGCTTATACATTATGGGAATTACGGGTGACGTGAGTTTCCCTGAAAACTCGGGATCAGGTCGTGCGATCGTAATTTCACTCTGATGCAGATCGATTACCCCGCCGCACAACGACGCCGACTGAAGTTGCAATGTTCGCCGTTGTTCAGCCTGGAGGCACGGAACGGCCGTCAATTAAGTCTCGTGTGTGATATTACGGATAATATAAGAAAATTACACGGCTAATATATACACCGGGTGATTACAGATAAATCTCTCGCTTACTGTGTAACGCTGATCGTTAAAACAAATGGAAAAAAGTATGCGATAACGCGCAATCGCGACACGTCACCCTTTCTGGACGCATCAAACACCGCATACGCCGTTTAGAAGCGCGCGGCGCTTGCCAAGAAGCACGATAATGTTTGTTTCAGAACGGCGGCGTTCAGGAATGACCGAGATTTTACGGTATAGTTATGATCAGCAGCACGTGCAATCGCAGGATAATCGCACATCGACATGCAATAATTACGCGGAGAAAAGGAATTCGCTGTTCGCATAATACAACTGAAATTCAGTTGTCAGATCTAATCTCTAGTTGCGGAAGCCGGAAACCAAGTACAGAGACGAAAAGAATTAGCTATTGAATTAACGAAATTCCAGTTGTATCACACGGACAGCCAATGTTTATCCGTGGAGCTGGTTTTTACCTGCGGGAGCTACTTCCTGTTTTCCGCGAAGAAAGAAGGAGAAATGGATAGAGATAGCTCGATCGTAAATGATCACCGTACTCGTCGAAAAATAAGTATACATGAACTAATGAAGACTGAAAGAGCCGTTTACATGGTGCGCCCGACCGGGGAATTTAACGGGCGGTAATGCATCGTTTTAAGTGGCCCGTTAGGAATCGCGTACAGATCGATCAATCCCAGGTGATAATTATCGGCGCACTGACTTGTACCGTGTGGTCACACGGGATACGGACGTGCTATAATTATGTATTAAAATAACGCTGCGTTGGGTCGCCTTTGATATTAAATGCGCATGCTGTTCCAACGTCATTCGTATATATGTAGCGCGATTTTTTTTTCTTGAAATGCTCTCATACTGTATTATAAGCATTCTGAACAAGGACATACACGCGACGTACGCGCGCGCTCACACACACACACACACACATATATATATACACATACACAAGTGATTTTTCTATCTTTTGTTTCCCCGAGTTATTTTCTTTTTTGTTATGCGCGTTATATTATTACGTAACCTCGTGCAATTGGTCGTATATCGGCTTACCCTTTGCACTCATTAAACTCATTCGATATTAATTAGCCTCACTTGTCCCTCTTTCTCCGTGACAAACGCAAACGCAACGGACGTAATATAATCGGGTATCAGTTCGCTTATTATTATTCAATTTCTCGAGACCTTCATCACGAAATGTGAATAAAGTATCGCTTTCTTTTTACACGCAGCCATTTATAACATCTATCTATTCCTAATAATAACTTCATTGATTATGTGATATACTTAACTCCTCCCTGGCCATGCGGCATATTTCTAACGCCACGCGTCAGGCACTTTCCGAAATATTGAATCGGTTTTGTTTAAATTTGATTTATTTACGAGCCAACAAGAACCTGACCATGGCGGTTCTAGTGCCACTTTGAATATTAAAATAGTTAACATTAACATATTTATATATTATTTATGGGAAGATCTGTAGGTACGAGTGCCGATTGAAAGAAACGGCGGTACGTTTAGTGCACGACTAAAAATGTATCTCACCACAAATGATATTATATTATAATATAATATTAACTATATTAACATTCAAAATGGCACTGGGACATGCCGTGAAAGAGAATCCGTGCTTAGGCTCTTACTGACCCATAAATAAGATCTTCTTTAGTAAATACCAGGACAGAGCCGTTATTACTTAATATTTTTTAAATTAAATTTCTTTCATACGCACTGCCGTATACACGTGTGCGTATACACGTGCATGGGCTTCCTTTTACAGACAAAGCCAGCTTAAACTCTCCATTTAAAGCTAGAGCGCGGAGAATATTTCGCATTTACAGCCTCTCGACCGTGTTATTTGACGCGATCGCGGCGGAGTTAATGCCGTTTGATTTATTATTATTCAGCATCGCATTAAAAAGCGCAGTCCGCACCATCAGTTCACGCTGTGGTTCATTTAACATGCAATAATAACAACAATTGATATACGTTATCTCTATATGTTCATTTAACGCACCGTATAATACAATCGATTACGTCGAACGTGTACAATAATTACGCGATAACATGCGCGGACTGTCATTTTGGAATAAATAACAATTACTGCGCAATCGTTGATCATTCGATTAAAGAGGCAAAGAGTCGTCGGCTCGATTATTGGACATCTGTGTCAACGTGGCCGGTACCTATTGGTGGGGAGCAAAACGCTCGGCGAAGGACCAATTCCTTCGATCCGGCGAGTGCCAAGAGCAGGAAAAAAGGAGTCTTAGACTTGTCGGGTACCGCGGGTACCGGCGATGGCCCACTTTTACCCGGCGAACCGTTCTTATGTAACGCTCGTCTCGCGCTCGCTCCTCGATCCTTCTGCTCACGTAAAAGCGTGCTGAGCTCCGTTAATGGAAGCCGATGAGGAAATGCCCGGAACCCTCGGCGAGATGCGGCGAAATGTGGCGACCTGCCGAGAAGTCCGCTCGCTTGTCTCCGCCCTGCCGACGTGGCGTCCAGCGGCGGTCGTGTTCCTCGGAAGCACTTGCGGGGTCAGAGCCGAATTACGCCCGAGTTAGGCGAGATAATAGCAATACGCTCGAGCACACACACACAGACATATATAAACACAGAGAATACAGAAAAAATGGTTGGCTGAATTAACGTGACAAGGCGTAACTAAGCACGTTCTGCTGGAAGGAAATGGAATTTCCGGGGGTTCTTGGGAACTAAATTTAATTCATGAGAGCCAGAAATGAGCTAAATTTAATTCTTAAAAACAAGAAATTTCGCTCATTTCTGGGTCACATAAAACAAATTTGATTTTCTCAAGAACCGGAAATTCCGTCTCCTCCCTCCAAAACGCGTTTAGTAACGTCATGTCACGCTAAGGAAATTGTAAAGCGAAATGAGTTTGATGAGAAATAAATGAGGATGATAAGAATTCGATGAGACTTGCACTACGTATATTTTGAAATATTATCTAAGCGCTCGTGCAATTAGGAAAAGTTCGAGAGTTTGCTGAGATATTTGCTACTAAAAGTTGACATTTTTTATACGTCTCCCTCGAGATTAGCGTGCTATTTTTAATTTAGGTTTTTAACACCTTCTAAACTAAAAAGATTTTCGTCGAAAAACTGCTGAGCTATGATATTAAAGACTAATAAACAGACATTATACACATTTCAGAATTATTGACTGTTTTGTTTTGAAAATACAACGGTGTCCAGTTCATAATTTGTAGTAATATTAGAAATATATATACATATACACATACTTACGTATCTCTTTCTATTATCTATACATCTCTACTAAATCGACTAATGTATAAATTAGTATTAATAAGAAAAATAAAAAAGAATATTTACATATTTTTACTATTTCGTACATATGTTTACCTCGAATTTCGTTTCGAATTAACATTTATTATTTAGGTAGTGAAATAAAAATATAATGAAACGTAATTTTGTTGCCACTGAGCCTTGCAATCTCTTTAATTTAACCAATCTTTATTTTTTTGCCGTACATGACAGACACCAGCGCGCGCGCGCGCACGTTCCTTGACGAGAGGATTCAACGCTGTGAATAGTTTCGCCGATAATTAGTGAGGAGAAAAAAAGATAGTATCGTTCGATATATTTCGCGCGGCACGGAAATTCCAACGAAGCGATTTCGGAGAGCGGACTAAAACGCGAAGGCCACACGAAAACATCTGGCATCTGCTTTCTTTTATTGACATTAAGCGCTATGCGTGAGTTTTGCTGAACGACTCGAGCATGCGATCACGTTCTTCTGAAGGCATTTCGTAGCGAAACGGGTTCTCCTAGGACGCCGCAGAAATCATAATTCGCGTGAGATCGATCGCTCGATCGTTGCGCAATAACGCCTGACGGGTCGGGAACCTCTTTCACTCGGGATTTCTCAGCGCCATTTTTCCACAGAGGAGAACAAATAAACCGGTTGTGCGCGTGAGAGAAGAGAGAAAGAGAAAAACGAACGCTGATAAATGTCACACAGCGATGGTTCCCTCCGATAGCAAGAGGGAAGAGAGCTCGATAGCAATTAGGGAGGGTTAATAATAACGTTCAACGGTAGGGGGCGAGGAGGATAAACGAAACACGCGCATGTGTGTGTGTGTGTGTGTTCTTGGCGATTTTTTATTACCATTCAAAAAACATCCGGTACGCTTCTTCGACGGTGCATGGTACAAAAATACAAGATCTATACGGGATAAAATATTGCACGACAGATCGTGCATCGAGGATGCGCGACGGACGATTTTAGTGCATCTGAGTGCGAACGTGGAAAAATCTATCCCTTGGCGAGGGCGCTTCGTCGTCTGTGATAACGTTGACGGTAAGGCGACGAAATATTACTGAGCCGTCTGTGAGACCAATTCGGACCAGAACACCGCGTAGTCTTTTAATACGGTGCCACTGAAAGGAAAAACAAATGAAAATAGGACATCCGCCGTAACGATACCGTGGAAATGTTTTCGTCGCTTGCTTCGTAGCCTCGTTTCGAAATTTTCATTTCGTTTCGCGTTTCAAACGCGTATTTCGAGTCGACGAGGATGCATGCTCGATTGCGCATGTATTTCTAGCTCGCTTTTGCCTTTCACAATTTTAACGATGAGTTTCGAGAGGGAGAGAGAGAAAGAGAGAGAGAGAGAGCGAGAGTTTGCTTCTGTAAAAAAAAAATCTCTCTTTTAAAAAGAGTAATGAACACATAAATTTAACCAGGCGGTAAAATTTCATTTTGCAATTGTACATGGGAGGGGGAGAATTCAATTCACGAACCAAAAATTCTTCACTTCCATTGCAAATTACGGCCCGAGGATTATTAACATCGCAAAATTATTTTATAGAGGGAAAATTGACGCGAAGTTCGTCAAAGAATTTCTAAATGAGGGGGGAAACACCGACGAGACCAGCCGAGTCACCGCATCAGCCAGCCTCGGCGTTGATGAAAAGTTATTAAAAAGAAAAAGTCTCCTCTCCCTTCCCCCGCACGAATCGCGCTCGCGTCGTGGCTAGGACACACGTCGGAGCTATTTATAGTGGTGAATAAATTATGGTTTGCTACTTGTTCCAGAATTTTTCGTGGCTCAAGGCGTGGTTGCGAACGGCCGCTCGCGGCGAAACTTTCTAACGCAAAAGTGCGCCGGGAATTCGCCAAGTTATTAGCGTATATGAATACGATTACGGGGCGACCGAGTGTGATAAAGGCAATTATTTCCAGCGGCCGATGTCGCACAATTAGTCCCATCGCGTCATCGCAAACCGACCGCGAGTTGCGTGTCCATCATTCGCGACTCGTTCTACCGTTATTAAATTCAACCGCTCGCCGGGGAGCATCGCGAAATGTGCGTCCACGAACACTCGCTCGTGCTCGGGAAGAATATTATTCCGCAATATGAATTGCGAAATTATCGGTATCGCGCGTAATAATGCGTAATAACGCGGCCTAATCCGAACGAGTGTGTGAGCTCGTGGACCTTCTTTCAACAGAGAACCGAGTTCAAATACGTTTAGTTGAGGAAACTATAATTTTTCATACGAAGCACTGTTTTTGCTCCTTGTAAGGACTTAGAGATCGTCAAGAGACAATTATTCTACGTTGTTCATTTGCCAATCTCTTAGGGAAATCGAAATATCAAGATACTCGATCGTGTATCGAGCCAAATGGTTTGGAATATTTTTAGAACGTTTTATTTCCTAAAAGACATCTTTACGATTAAATAGGGATGTTTCCAACTCTTTGGTATCGATGTAATTTTTCTTTAGGACGGAAACGTGAAAAGTGAACATTTTTAATATTTCTTTCAAATTAGAAAATCAACATTTTTCACGAATTCACGTTAAAGAATACAATTCATAATCAAGGCCTAAAATGACGCTCAGGAAGTCATGAATTTTCTAGCGTGAACTCACGAAAAGTATAAATTTTCTAATTTGGAAATATTTCACTTTTCATGTTTCCGCCTTAGAATAAAAGTCACGTGATCGGCACCCTTGCGATCGTTCATTAATAATTCACGATTGAAACATCGAGATATGCTGTTTCGCGACGAATTCCTGAAGGGAATAATAATCGTAACTTATCTTGCAGAGAGTCCTTATGCAACCATATCTCTCAATCGCAAATGTATCTACATTACAGGATGTACCACCGTGTACATCATTGTGAAGTCACCTTCTATCTTGTGCGAGAGAGATGAAGGGAAAAAGAGGACGGGTTAATTAGAGAATAATTACGCGGGAAAAAAGAAATAGCCTTGACAACGGTAATTGCGGCACCGTTTTATCGTTCCTCCTACGTGTGGCCGTTCGAGGTCGCGGGTATCTTTTATGGGTATTGTTTTCATCGCGCGCTCGATGAGGACGTCGCACACTCACGTGAAATAAACGTTGCCTCGTGCGTTCGGGGGTGCGTTCCAAAGGAAGGTGGCCTGCTCCTTGTCATCCGGATCCGCGTGCGTAACCGCGCTGCACTCAGCGTGAGTGTTCGTGTTCGGGGTTTGCGCCCAGGAGCCGATCCATTCGTTCGTCTTGCTATCGCGTGCTTGCAGGAAAAACCCTTTGAACGGGGCGCCTCCGATGGTGACTGAAAAGTAGACGAACGGGATTTCGATAACGGGTCTGAGTCCACGTTTTGGCCTTATGTTAAATCTTTAATTCTACAACACAGTAGGAGATAAGATAGCAAAGTATGTTTAATTTAAATTCTATTTATATAATTGGCTCTTATTTTGACCCCGATGGTGTCTTAAATTTCTGTTTTCGCTGTTTTATCGTGAAAAAAGTTTGCTCAAAGTAGCGTTGAAATTAAATCTGTAGAATTTGATGTTCAAGAGAGAAGTTGATGAACGCTAATATTACCAAAGTAGATTTTTATTAATTTATCATCTAAGTAAGCGCAAACTATCCTTAAGAGGGTCAAAATGCGCGCAGAAAAATATTACTCGTACTGTAAAGAAAAGCAATTACTCAATTAATTTTTCTCCGAGTAAAAGTTATTTTAAATAAAAATTATTTTCTTGATAATAGTATCAGCATAGTCAATTTTATTTACGTTCTTTAAATATATGTAACACGATTATGAAGCGTTACATACTTTAAGGAACGTATATGAAACTGACATTGCAAATACTCTTCTCCGCAGTGTAATATTTTTCTCTGTATGGCATCGAGATTTCGGCTCTCGAGGGGCAATGTCACGTTCGTTCGTTTAAAATTTCGCCCGCCCTTTATTGCCCCTGTGTACGACTGTACGTTCGCTGGATGATACAACGTCGGTTACCGTGACACACCGTGAATTTTACGTGCTCGAGGCAATCGCGCGCACGACCGCGCGAACCTGTCGATATCGGCGCACCGAAGTAATTTTATATCGAGGAAGGGCGGCGGCAGCAACAGTTGTAAACGGCCGTCGGTGACTCATTTGTCAGAATTTGCAGGAGTAGCGATAAAAATGTGAATCGGACATATATAAATTACGGAGATTTTATATCGCGAGTACACCCGCATCAGACGCGCACAAATGCTGATCTATGAGGTCTCCCGGTATTTATTTATTTATTTATTTTGCAGACGGGATTACATTTCTCGTTAAACTCGTTACCGAAATCTGTACTGAAAGTTTACGCGAAAAATTTACACTGTTCCTGCACATCGTTTCGCTGTTTATCGTCCTATGCGATTAAAACGTTAACGAGCGGCGTTACGCGGAATTGGGAAGAGCGCAACATACGTAAATGGGAAATTGCGGTGCACCAGCACTTGATAATTGACGAGAACTTGATACTCGGAACGTAGCGATTATTAAATATGAAGTAACAATTATATTCTGTATGAAATTTGTGGAAAAATCGCTTCAATGTAGATAGTGTGCGCGCACCCACACATACACACGTATCTCGATCGATGTCACACATTCAATGTACTCTGCATCAAAGCACGGCCGCCTTTATCTGATACTTGTTTCAAGTCTCAGCGACGTACTCGAAGTCTTACAGACTTCCAGACCAAGTTCGATAAGACGTGCGCCTCATTCAACTTTACAAAGCTTTCGTAAACTCGAACTCGAGACACTTGTCTCGCGTCTAATAATATCGGCGTTCGATTTTGCGAAAGCAGCAAAACAGAGATTAAAGTGATATAAAATAGATCCATTGAACGTCCCCACTAAGATTCGGCCGGAATCCTATCGCGTATCTATTGTGACGATATAACGAGCTCATTTCATCGCTATTTTCCAGACGATGGATAAACCCGCTCCCTTTTCCCCGTTGCTCTTTCTTCCCGCCGTGCGCTTTCTCGTGCCTCTCTGTTTCTCTTCCCTTTTGTCTCCGCGCAAAAGCATGTGCTACGCTCGTCCTGTTTCCAATTTCTCCGGGAAACCGCGAGAAAACGAATCTGGAGAAGAATGGGTTTCTTCGAATTTCATTTCCGCCGATGGAATCCGTGGCTTTGCCGACGGTGCATTTCCAAGCTTTTCAACGAGCTCCGACTCGAGCGAGCTTCTCGAGCCTCTCTTCGCGTTTACATAAATACGTAACTCAGCGGCTTCTGGACCGCGCATCTCGATCTTTCGCACGAAACGCGGGTCGGCGGGTAAATGACATTCGTGCTTCAATCACACCCTCGCGAGCCGCTCTCTCACGCTCACGGAAGACGCGCGAGTGCGCATCCTCCTCTTGTCCTCCTAATTTACTATTGTTCCACGATTTGGCCGATCGGTGCTAACAGAATGCGTCATTGTCGGTGTTCAGCGCATTTCACAGCCGCTATGCTGATTGATTCGATTGTGCCGCGTCGAACAAAACTTCTTTGATGGAAACACAACGGACTGTCTCGTGACGCGCACGTGAGCTCGCCGCACATGCCACGACGTAGTTCCTATCCCGTTGCGTATCTGCGGGGTGTCGCGATACCCAGATCCCCGGATGATTCCTCGATATCGCCAAGTTCTAGTCAACTGAGAACGCATTTTGCCACCGAAAGAAATTACTCGGAACAATTTGTCATATATCGGAACAACGATTCCACAGTTCAACGAAGAGAAAAACAGCAGAACGAGAGACTAGTCGTTTCCTGTAGTTTTTTCGACACTGAGTCGCGTCACAACCGATGTCAAATTTGGCAAACGGATGGATTCGATATGGCGAGTATCGGAACTTAAAAAGTTTTCGGATTTTTGCAAATATTTACTTGGAATTTGTCAATTTTGACATCGGAGTCGTGTACGACTTAAAAGACTCTTGAGTTTAAATAAACATAATTGAAAGTTACTTGGCAAGTCGTCGGTGATCTAATTCGCAGGTTCTCCGCAATGGACTTTATATTTTAACCGTGAATATTTTATCAACCATAGCCGACACAAAAGATTCTTTTTGAGGACCGAAGGTCCCAACACATATTTAATTTTGATTGCAATACAACTTCTTCAGCTTTTTCAGCACGTTACATATCTTAATTATAATATGACGAAATACGCGAAAATAGTCCTTTTTCGCAAATTTAATTGCGAATTTCTCAAAATTGTGACTTGATGGAACAACTTAGAGTCCGGATTCGTATTAAGCGTTCAAGGAACTATAGGAAATGGACTACTCTGATTCTGGTGTTCGAGAAAAGTCATTTTCTGTTAAACCATGTCACCTATGAAGTGTTATCACCTACGAAGAAAAACATTTCAAAATATTAATTAAAGTACGTACAATACATTTTTTGTACTTCATATATTTAAATATAATGTAATAATAAGCCTTATATCGATCCTTCTTCTTCAGATGAATAAGAAAGTTACTTAATATTTAAATATTTAGCAAAAGTAAAAGTATAATTATACTGTGTACAATATGATATTTCCTTCGTATAAGTTGACATTTACTTGCATGTGTTAGAATAATTCTGACAAGTATTAAATTCATAATATTAAGAATATCAGAATTTATTTTTAGAAAACATTTACTCAATAGAAAAATCTAAATTTTAAACCACTAGAGTTCTTCAGTGGAGAAGAAATATTACATAATTCTAAATACTGAATACTTTCTTAAATTTAAAACCACTTGATACTTCAGTAATTCATTTATAAATTAACGTATTACCACGTTCAAGTAAATATTTATTACAAGCTATTAAAGTAAACCTAAACTAATGAAAATATTACTTGATTTAATAAGCATAACGTTTACTTGATTCTAGCACATTTTTTCGGTGCGTATAACAATATTTTTCGTAAAATTTCTTGGTAAAAAGGATTTCAGTGTTTTCTGTGATATAAATAACAAAGATGTGTCACGCGAGTATCTAGTAAGATCTAGTGAGATATGTTGCAGGATCTTTGTAAATTCAACTTTCTTTTACGAAGAGGCAGCCTTCTTCACGAAAGGGTTGAATTCACAGCACATCCTGCGACAGATGCACAACAAATACGCTTACTGTCACGCGTTGAACTTACCTGTGATTTGAGAGCCCGGCCCGTACTGAGACGACGAGGCCACTATTTTATAAGGGCTCGTGTTTAAGGGCTGTGACCGCGCCTCACCGTGGTAGGGCTGATTAGCTCGTGGTTTTACGCAAGCGTCCACAGGGGCGCCGTCCGGAAATCCGAGGACGGAGATCGAAGAAAAGACGACGAGCGCGAACAAGATCGCGATATATCCGATGAGACGCATCTTTCTCGTTTCACTTCTTCCATTTCGACGAATCACGTGCAAATAACGCGTGATGATGAAATTCGAAAACAGAATTCGAAAACAAAAATGAGCGTAATCGGGAGCAGAGACACGGGACTTTCTTGATAGTTATAGGCTCACACATACTTAAAGCGCGGCTGAGCTCGTCTAATCGGAAAATGTGCGCGTCGCTTAACGTTTACCGAGAAATTCGATGTTGCAACTTTTTTTATCATCTCGATTTCCGCATAGAAGTACACTCGTGCTTAATTCATAAACATATGCGCACTGAGAATTTGACAAATTTTATCATTTGTGCGCATTTTCGTGCTCCAACTTCGGTCTGCATAAACGCAGCGCGTTATATCAGATCTGACGAAGTTTAAATTACTTACTCCCCGGTATGGTTTAATTAATAACTAACTGCAGCGCGAAGTTTTCATATCGAGTCAAGTCGGCAGGTATACAAATAATTGTGCGGATTTAGAGAAAAGCATTTGTGCAACGCGCACATCTCCCGAGGAATATCGATAACTCGAGCTTTGCTAACGTAACGTTCTCATTTTTATTTTCGTTCACACGGATATTCGTCAGCCGCTCCATTCCTCTATTATTTTAATATTCCAGAAACGTTGTGATTAATATAATATAACATAATAATGAATATAAATATCTGCGACCGGAAACTGTCATCGTTAACGAAATTTAATCCCTCGGTCGGCCGATACGGTTTATAAACGAATAATAAATTGATAAAACGAATCGAGCTCAGTTTCTAAACTCAGAGAGTTGTCAAGATATTTGAAGAAAATTTCATTATTATTCAATTGATTACCAAGATATGAATTCAATTACGACACACTTTCGTTGGGACAAGTCACAGGAATAATAACGCGAAGGGAGAGATATTTTCCCGAAATTCCCTTTTCTCATACCGAACCGATCGATCGAGTCCCTCACGACGGCGATGGGATAACGCCAACTTACTTGCAGCGAATTTCGTTATTACACGTGAATCAACACACTTGATTCGCGCAAGGACAAAAAGGTGCTCGCGACAGAGCCGCACGCAAGAAACTGCAGTATCCGATTCGTTGCCGGCAAGCCAAATGTTGGCGGGATCCCACCATAGAATCTCAAAGCTGTACTCAATACGCTTTTGCTAATTGAACACTTTCACTCGATCTTGCAACCGGTTCTCGTCTAGTTCTTTTAAAAGGATATCTACGAGTCTTAGAGCAAGAAAAATGTACAATCGAGCATTTATTTTTTTCTTTCCCAGCATAAATCGAGTCCATTTGACGTAATCAAACCGCACGGAAGAGAGGAATTAGCTGTCCATTATAACACAACTGTAATTTAGTCAGCAGACCTAGTCTTTAGCTGCGCAAGCGGAAAAATTAGGCACAGGGGCAAAACAATTAGCTAAATCAGCTAAGTTTGAGTTGTACTGTATGTGGACAGCGGGAGCTAATTCCTTTTTTCCGTACGATAAGGGAATATTTCAAGGGAAAACAGCTCATTTCGCAGACCGCGAAATAACGAGTAACGCGTAGATTTCACTGTTGACTTAGAATTGCGGACTTTTCGTGATGAAATTTGATTACGATCGCGTCATACGGCAACATATCGATTCGCAGATACGTTGGTTTCAAACGTTCTATTGGCGCTTGAAAATCATAATAAAGACCGTATTCGTCGGAAGTAGTGCATTCTCGATCTCCGTGTGCGCCACGTTACGTATCGTTTATATCTTACTGCACCTGACAGCCTTCATATTCGTGTGTTGTCGAATAAAACACTCGTTATTTCTCTACTGTCAAAGATAGAAGAAGGAAAGTTTTCAGCGACGCTTCGCATATTATTCGCGACTTTCGGTCTACGTGCGCTCTCGTGCGCTTGTGAAATTTCAAATATGCGCGATACAGCCTAAGGAGATTAAACTTGTAAGTGGGCGAATATAAAACTCCAACCTAGCGTCTCTGTCATTTCAATTATTTTTAATCATACTCGTCTCAAGGTTTTTAAAACATGAGTTTTTTAAGAATCCGTTAAACTGTATATAGATCAAAATTATGACCTAATTATTGACGCAATTACAAATTTCATTTGTTTCGAAAATATAATATAACTATAGGAAATTTACAATTTATGGTACAATCGTGATATATGTACATAATACGCATATTTAAATGTTTACTTTCTATTATATGTGCACCTTTATCACGTCTTAAGACCCCGGAGTAGTCGCTATGACTGTCCTTGAGATTTTTCGTTATATTTTCAAGTAAAAAGATATGTCCACAAAATGACATTTGTGATCGATTCGACACACTTGTGAAATTGAACGGACACTTTTTACTCGAACACTCAATAAGTAGTCGCGAAATTAATTTGACACGGAACCTTCTTTCCCAACCTCTTTTCTCACGATCTTATCAATGTTAGTTAATTTTACGGCTGCTTATCGATTGTTCGAGTAAAAAGACAAAAGTGTTCGTCCAATTTTACAAGTTTGCTGAATCGATCGCGAATGTCATTTTATTAATACATCTTTTTGTTCGGAAGTATAACGCGAACAATTTGGGCACGCGTTCTCTCGCTCTCTTCTGGTGTCATTAAACAAGGAGAGTCACAGCGATTACTTACGGAGCCTTAAGAAAATAACAGATACAATATTATATAAAAGTAATAAAGTCCACGGATATCTCGAGAAGGTATCAACGACGATATATCAAAGCTTCGCGCCGCACAGCTGGCGCTCTTATGTCGCAAGACATTCGTTCCGTAGCGTAATCTTTGACATTTCATACAGCATTTATCGATTTATCAGACGACAAGCGCTCGCAACAAATGGGGCTGTTGCATGTTGTATACGATTACGCATTTCGCGGGTCTAATATGCTCCTTTCACCGCCGATTGTTCGCGTTACTGCTGTGCGTATGCAGTAACGAGCGAATAAATCGTAGCCTTACGTAACACACGCGCCTTCCGTAACATTGACCTTTATGGAATACTTTTTTTCGTCGTCTCATATGAGGTTTGTTAATTGTATTATACTGTATTACGTTCGCTTTCTAATGTACACAGAAACTGGTTTCTGAACGTTATCGCGAGTGTACAAGTTTACCTTTCTATCGCATCTTATTTCTATCCTCCCCGTTAAATTTTTTTTCCAACGACCTATTATTCGAAATGACATGCTTCTTTAACTAGACAAATTCGTTTAGAAGCTAGTTTATGTCTCTATTGAACGGATATGAATCGATTGTAAATTTATTCGATGATATAGCAACGTTAACTGTGTAACAGGTATTAAATTAATAAATTAAATTAAATTAAATTAGCATTCTTTTGGAGATGTTTGATATGTAGCGGAGAATTTTATTTCACGTGTTTAATTTTTAATTCGTGTTTCGTTCACCTCTGCTCAGTCTCGGTTTATTTTTATAACGGAGCGTCAACAATTGTCTTGAGGTATCAAAACGAGACAATTCTTCTGTCAGTTCCATCATTTTGTTCAATTCCAAAGAGGCAAATGCCGTTTAAACATGTGAAAATTTTCCGTCTCACATCCTCGAGACCCAAAATGAAATTGATTGTTCTAATTTTACCGATATGTTGAAAAGCATCGGGACATCTTTGCACTCGTTTTCTGACGGTACTATCGGAGAAGACGACGGCGCGAAATGCTTCGCACTCATGCCAAGCGATTCTATTGCATGTTAACCCTTCGAACGAACTCGCATAATGCAGAAGCGTGCGCGCGTTACATATTCGTACATACACGCTCTGACACGTACATGCACGGTGAGTTCACTCAGTCAATGTGACTTTTCACACTGTATTATTGATTTTCCACGGCCTTTTCAGGCCGTCGGCTGTACACGCTAGAAATATTTCTTTCAGATTATCGTGCATCCCGTAAGAAAGGAAAAAAATGTATTCGTTTCTCGTGAAAATGATATATAGGGGAAGCGTTTTACATATCCTTTCTACTTCGTTCGCAATATCAATTCTCGCGATATATGTGAATCTTGAAAGAAACGCAATTTTCATATTTTATTTTATTGCCACGAAGAGAATGGGTATGAAATCGTTAATAGTAATTCAGACATTTTTTTTTTATCGGGATTTCGTTTGTTACGAAACAAGATTTATTCCCGCCGATGGTCCATCTTATAACGAAGGAGGAACCAGATATAGATCAGGTACTGACTTGGGATCATCAGATGCAATGATATTCTTCCAAAAATTGTTCAAACATTTTAAGAACTAATCCGTAACCATGATTCGGGATCTAGTTGTGGATTATTCGCATTATTTCTAAAGACAGATGCAAAACCAAGATGTATATGTAAGAAATATGAGACAGTGATATCAATCTAAACAAAATACCCCTTGGGTTGTTCGACAAATTCGTAGGGATTTTTACGAAGAGCTGAAGGCCGATACGATGGGACATAACTTTGTTATATCATACATAAAAATATATTGATTTTTTTTCAACGGCCATCGGAAAAAATGGAAAAAATAAATTTATCTTAAGTGAACTTGTCGAACAACCCAATAGTACTCATCGTGATTCATTATATCCGTTAAGTATTTTATTGTACATACATATTCGCATGTCCTTATAAGGAAAAATTTCAACGTTCTTTCTTATGATGATCCACAACTAGTTTCTTTACCCCATACACATTATTTTCAAATATATATATATATATACATGTGTGTGTGTGTGTGTGTGTGTGT